TTATGTGAGGACTGTTTTGCTTATCTGTGGTGTCAGATATTGTGAAGAGTATATATGGACCTTTTGTGGGTGCACCAGCTTTTGTTAGTGTTTGTTAATTTACTGTGTGGCCCAAGACAACATTATTCCAATCTGTGGCAGAGAAGAAAAAAGGTTGGATGCTCTGGAATGGAATTAAAGGGAATTTATTGGCTCAGAAAGGGAAGAAGTACCATAGCTTTCGGGACAAGCCAACCTGGGCTCAGGCTTACAAGTTTGGGCGCTGTTTCTGTAGTTTCCTCTTCTCCATGAGTTGGGGTCCTCTTCACATTGGCTCTCTACCTGGTAAGTAAATGACAAGAGCAGTCTGGCCTTATGTCCATAGATCCCATTACTTAGAAGCAACTTTCTAAGCACAAGTCCCAAGCAAAAGTCCTGAGCTTCACTACAACTGGACTAGCTGGACACATGTGCTTAGCACTGGATCATCCAATTGGAATAGCCAGGAGAACATACACTGACAGGTGGAGGACCCTCAGTCAATCAGAGCAGTTGAGGAAAAAAGCTCTGTGGATGGGTTTAGAACACTGGTTCTCAAAATGTGTTCCCTGACCAGTGGCATCAACATCCTCTGGGAACTTGTTAAAAATGCAAATTCTTGGGCCTCATCCCAAACTTAATCAGAAACTCTGGGGGTAGGGCCCAGCAATCTGTGTATTACAAGCCTTCCCAGTGATTCTGATAGAAGCTAAAATTTAAGATTGACTGATTTAGACCATCAGGTCCTACCCATGGAGCCTGGAAGGGGCTATAAATCCTATTCATTTCTCTGAGCTGTCATACACTTAGAAAACAATGGAAAAGAGGCCTGGGAAGTTACCATCAACATACTCCAGAGGGGGACAGCTCATTTCACATCTGACTTTCTGTGCTGAGGCTATAGGGTAGAAAACACTAGTAATTGGTTTGAAGATTTCTTCTAATGCCCATAGTTATTAGTCTAAGGGCTGGGAAGGAAAAAAAATGGAAAGCATTGACTTCAGCATATTCTATGGGCTCTAACCTACTCCCTTAGGAGAAATTGGACAAATACATTTACCCACATTTGACAGAAGTAAAACTGCTTAGCAATTAACACCTCATTGAAGAAGGCAGTCTCCAAAACAGTTCCATAATTATGACTAATCCTAAGAATCAACTGCATAGGGTTACATCTATAGATTCTTGGGCTCTAGCCAAGACATACTGAATCAGGATCTCCAAGGGAGGAGCCTAAGATCTGTACTTTTTGCAGACATCACCAGTGACTCATATGGATTATGCACGTTTGGAAAACACTGTTCAAAGAAATAAAGCCAAAGGACTGAGGAAAGAAATTTCATGAAAGAATTATTGGAACATTTCTCACTAGGCAAATAGTAGCTTCTTCCTCTCCTTTCTTTAAAGTACTCCCTCACTTGCAGGGATTCTACCCATGTTTTTCTTCCTCTAGTCTTATTCTATCCCACCCCTCAAATAAATCACGTTTCAGACCTTTATCAGAGTGATCCTTCTAAAACAAACTGGATGTAAGACCTCAGATCAAAATCTGTGACAAGTGCTCACCATGGTGCATAGGACCTTATCCAAGACATTGTTAGCACAACAGCCAAGGTTCCCCCCAAACAAGTCCTTGCCTGTCTTCTTCAGCCTTACTTCCTACCATTAGTTCACTTGAACCCCAGCCTTGTACCACCCTGAACCCCTTCAAGGCCTTGAATACATGCTGTTCTTTTGCCTCTGTTCTCTCTGCACACAATGGTCTTCCTTCCCTCTTCACCCAGCGTGTCAGTCAGGTTAATACCAGGTTGTGCCGAAGTAACAAAATCCCAGTAGTAAAGACAACAAAGATTTATTTTCATTTGTTGTAAGTCAGGGGTTGGCACGTGTTTTCTTTAAAGGACCAGATAGTAAATATTTTAGCCTTTGTCAGCAACACACGGTCTCTGTTGAATGTTCTCTTCTTTTTTATTTTATACGTAACCTTTTAAAAATATAAAAATCATTCTTATTTGTAGGCCATAGAAAAATAGGCCATTAGCTATATTTGGCCTATGGGCCCTAGTTTGTCGAGCTCTACTCTATGTGACCTCTACCAGAGACCTGTAGACAGTAGGGAACTACTCAGATGAGTAATTCTGAATGAATCGAGTTGTTCAGAGACCTGGGCTAATGGAGCAACCACCTCTTGAATGTTTCTTGTCACCATGCAGACAAAAAGAGAGGGTCTCACACTCTGAATTAAATGCTCCAGTCTGGAAGTGGCATCCTTTAACTTAGGCTCACAAATAATTAGCCAAGGTTAGTCTTTGGCTAACTTTTGGCTAACTTTGGCTAACCCCCACCAACTACCATGTATAAGGGGGCCAGGAAATGCCATCTTACCATAGGCCCAAATTAATTGGTAAAATTGATGAGTATACTCAGCTCAGAGACAAACCCTCTGGCAAAGCCATTTTTGATACCCTCATTTCACAGCCAAATCACTGCTTAGTCTCTGTGATTTTACAACATCTTAGGCCTCTCTTGATCAATGCTGTATACAGGGTACACCAATTGCTCCTACATCTGCCTCCCCCAGCAGAGGGTAGACTTCCTCTAGTAAACCTCTCTACTGCCTTGCACAATGCCTGCTACCTAGGGATGCTCAAGGAGTGAGTGTTGCTTCAACACATAAATTCATGTGGTGGACCGTGGGAATGAATGGGACTGCCTATGCATTTACCTGAAGGGTTCCGGGATCCAGCAGCGTTAACCTCTTTGAGCTCAGTTAGTTCAGCATTAGCCTCCACTTATGACCAATGTATCTTTTTAGTTATTGGTTACTTTCTGTCTTAATCAAACACATTCCTCCTTATGACCTTTTTCGTCTAATAATCAACACTTTGCAGAGAGCTAGTCCTCGAGGCCACAGAGCAATCTTATATCATATAGGTTGGTTTTGTTTTTATTTTCTAGGTCAGAAGGCAGGCACAGAGAGGTACTGTGATTTTTCCCAAGTTAACAGCCAATCAGAGATGGAATCAAATACTTTCTTCTGATTCAACAAAAATAGTACAGGATTGAGCACAAGGCTGCAGCTAAGTTCACTAACAGTTTATTTATATAATTTGGAGAAATAGAAATCATAACATATGTTTGTCAAAGATAAGTCTTATTATGCCATATCCCATTATCAATGTTTAGCTTGTAGTGTACATTTATCTCTGGGTAAAATATTAAAATCCAAACACACGACTGTTTATTAATGCTATGCCTTTTCACACTGATTCCATCCAACCTCTTTCCTCTTCTATAAAGTGACATGGTTTATCAGATGCCCTTTCTGAACCCCAAGAACATTAGATGACATCATACATCTAAGGTTATACCAGCACATCTCAGTGCCTAACACCAGCATACATCTTCAATACTACATGTGATAAAACAAATTTCAGTTGTTTCACCCTATGTATATGACCGCTGCAGTTTGCATCAGCCATATACCCACGGGGTAGGCAAAATAGCATTCCAAAATAGCATTCAGAATCCCCATCCATGCTTGTGAGTTAAGCCCGTCATGTTTAGCAGTCACGATCTGGATTTCCTCTGGCCCCACCACAATGTATCCCAACTCTGTATTTTCTTTCCTCTATCTCATGGGTATAGTAAGTTCCTAATAAACATCCCACCTGATGGCTAGCCTTGATGAGAGAACCAGGACAAGGACAGTGTAGCTAGGCAGTGCTCAACACTTCTTAGATCACCATTAAAGTCAGAACGTGATATTTTTGATATATGGCAAGTTTGAGTCATTCCAGATAAAAACTACACGTAGGTATATAATATCCTTTATTTAAGAAGGTGAACTAACTCAGTGTGCCTTCCACTCTGGTTAAGATTCTTAAGAGACCACAGCAGACAATGCACCTCCACTAGGGCAAGGTGGGCAAGAGAAGTGAAGTACACACAAAGCAAATTGCAGGGTCAGGTACTGTCAGGCACAAAACCAGAATCAGTCCTTCCTGGGAGTCTCTTGCCCTTGCTCCCTTTTTTCTTTAAGTCGTGTAATTGAATGCTACAAAGTATACTAAGAAGAATAAACCTGCCGGCCCCCCCTCTTCCAAACAAGAAAAGGTTAAGCTTTTAATTACAGGCCCTCAAACTATCATTTTCTGCAATTAGCAATTAACTATAATCGCTGATGAGAGAATGCAAAGCTGCGCTAGCAATTTCCCTCCTCCTCATCCCAGCCTGGGTTATTTTAGTCTTGTTCTATTACAGAGGACAAGCCACAACCGCGTGTACTCTCTTTCTTTCACTTAAAGATACATTTAATTTTTAGCAAAATGGCATCTCAGCGTGCAATTGAGACAGGCATCCCGAGTCCCACATCAGAGCAGTCCAAACGTTTGGACCCCCTTCCTCTTCATCACTTTCTGGGTGGAGCGAGGAGGCCCGAGGAAGCTGCTACCTACCAGCCTCTCTTAGGGGCGCAGGAGAGGGGGGAAGAGACAGGCTTGTTGCCCCTGGAAGCTGCAAGTGCCCCCCAGCTGCAAGCCGGGTTTGTGGGGAGGCGGTGGCAATAGCCGCGATAGTTGCATCAGCGCTAACTGCTGTTGCTGCATTTACTGTTGGCGGCTGCCGGGAGGGTACAGTAATGACTGTAGGGAGCGCACAGCTGCTGCGGCGGCAGGTTCCCTGGATCAGGAAATTAGGACAGGCACCGGGGATTGGAGGCGAGGGCGGTGCGTGAGCCAACCAGCGGCCGCCCCGGGCCCCCGTGCGCCTCGGGCGGACGCGCGGAGCAGCCGGGCCCCTGAAGCAACCCGGCTGGCGGCCACGGCCACGGCCACTCACGCACGCACGTTCACACTCGCACACCCCCGACACAGGCACCCGGCTGCCCGGCGCATGTAAGAGGAGCGCGCAGAGGGGAAGGAGGGCTGGAGACGCCGCGCTCCCCACCACCAGCTGACCACTCCCCCTCCTGCCCCCTCCCAGCTCCTCACCCCGCGCTCCAGCCGCCGCCAGTGTGGGTGCTCCGCTGCCCGCTCCTCTCTCTTCTGTCTTCTCCTCTGCTCTCGCCTCCCCACCCCCTCTTCTTCCCCTCCCCTCGTCCTCCCCTCCCCTCCCCTCCTCTGCAGCGCCTGCATTATTTTCTGCCCGCAGGCTCAGCTTGCACTACTGCTGCAGCCTGGGGAGGTGGGTGGTGGGTTGGCTGGTGGGGAGGAGATTGTGCAAGTTGTAGGGGAGGGGGTGCCCTCTTATTCCCGGCTCTGTTCCTCCCCCCCCCAACTCCTTCCCCCTCCTTCTCCCCTTCCCCCTCCCCGCCCCCACCTCCTTCCTCCTTTCGGAAGGGCTGGTAACTTGTTGTGCGGAGCGAACAGCAACGGCGGCGGCACCATCCAGGCGGGCACCATGGGCACGTCCGCGCGCTGGGCGCTCTGGCTGCTGCTCGCGCTGTGCTGGGCGCCCCGGGAGAGCGGCGCCACCGGAACCGGTGAGTGAGGACGCGCCCCTCCGTGAGGGGCCCGGACCCAGCTGGAGCGCGGGGGGACCCCGAGATGCGGGTCTCCTTTTGCCCACCCCCCCTCCTAGGAGGCTCCGCTCCGCTTTCCTCGCCTTCTTTCCCTCCCCACCCTGGTGGCGCCTCTGAGCTGTCAGCGCCACGGCTAAAGGGAGACGGGCATGGGGGACAGTGGGGTTTAGGGTGTCCTAAAGACTCACCTAAACTAGTCTTTATTCCCTTACACCTCTCCCCCGCAAAGCTACTGCTTCGCCTCGTTTTTCACCCCCTTGACGGTAGCTGGGGAACGTGGGCTTCTGAACCATTGAACAATGGTTCTGCCGCCTCTGCCAGGCGGAGTGTTAGGAAGGAGGCAGAGGGCCCAGACGTGCGCGGCAGCCCGGGGCGCGCCCCTAGGATCTCAGGGAGGGTGAGAGCGGACGGTGGGTGAAGGCGGGCGACCTCGGGGACGCAGGGTGCCAGGTGCGCGCCGGGGCAGCGACTCCTCCCGCAGCCGTGAGCGGGCGCACGTTCGGTGGGCGGCAGCCAGGAGACAGCGCGCAGCCTGCGCACCCAGACTGCGACTCCTCGGGCGTCCGGCTGTCTCTCCGGCGTGCGGGTCAGAGGAGGAGCGTGGCTTTAAGCCGGACTCCCTTCTGAGCTTTTCTCCCCACCTCTTTCCCAGCCCTCCGGCTGCGTTGGGAAACCTCTCTGGTCTCCCGGGTAGCTGAACGGGAGGGGAGTGGAACCAAGACTTAATCAGGTTAGTTTGCCGATCCTGGTTCCCCAAGACATTTCCTCGAGAGGTATTGGGTCCTAATCTAGTGACTGTAATTAGCCTTAATTCTAAACAATAGATCCAAGGAGTAGCGCGAGAGCTGGTGTGTGGCTGTGTTTTGTTGAGAAGGGCGGCGGTGACTACTGTGAGTCCCCAGAGTCTGCTGCCCTGGGCCTGGGAGCTTTGACCCGTCTCGAGGCGCTCTGCCAACTAGAGCCTCAGAACTTTCCTGGGCAGACGACAGGAAGACCCTTAAGAGAGTTCCGAAAGAACCCTGGAGGGTCCCAAAGGTGATCTTAAGATGTGACAATCAGGGGCTTGCTTGCCAGCTCTAGGGAACTAGGACAGAAAGCTGCCCCTGCTCTAAATTCCCATTCCAAGGAGTCCCTAGCTCCTGTCGCCCGGTGACTTAGGAGGCCCGCCGGTCTCCAGTCACGTGTCTCCTGAAGTGAGAGCAAACTTTCAAGTATGTAGTCTAGAAGCCTCTCGGGCAATACTTGGGGTTTTTAAGTCTCTGAATGCACCCTGCCCTTTAGTTCCGACCGTCCGGAGCGTGTGAAGGGGACTGGCTTTTCTGCCCTCTGCGATTGGTTAGCGGTCTGATCACGTTTAGCTTGGTCACGTGGCTCCGCTGGCTCGTAATTTAGCAGTCTGAGAAGTGTTATCTTTAAAGGAACGTAAAAAGCGCCGACAGGTTCCAAGGGGCTGTCCTCTCAAATGCCTTTCCCTGCCTGGACTCTTTGAAAAAGAGGACTGTGTAGCGAATGGTGGAGTCTGATTTGTAACAAGCCTGAGAGCTAGCAAAGAAGAGTTTTCAGACGCTCACATTAATCGTTAATGGATGAGTAATACTAACTTATTAAAAGATTTCTCAGAATAGTGCCATGACTTGCAGTATACTTTTAAAATATTTCAAATCTCGAGGTATACACGTATCATGATTATTGTCCAGGAAGGTGGGAGACAAGTTTCATTTTTGCTGCGTGTTCTTTCATAGTCTTGGAATTTGAGATACAATAACTTCCCTTTAGAGGTTAGCTTTTCCCTGTAGAATGCTAGGAATGCACCTAAACTGCTGAAATGAGTTAGTCAAAGCCAGCCCTCTGCGTTCACCTCGTATTAGGCAGATGAGGATCCTCTTTGCTCCCTTTGTCACAGGTGAAATAGGTGGCAAGCTCTGAACAGTGGAAAACACAAGCCCATGCAAACTTAAATTCTTCAAAGGAAAAGAGGTGGTTCCTTTAGGAACTGGACGAAATTTGGAGTTGGCTGAAGATACACATACTAATCCTAAGTCAAGCCAGACCTGCTTCTGTCTCAAGTTCAAAGTCCCAGGGCATGTGGACTGAGTTGCTGACCCTGAATGTCTGCACTTACCCCTTCTCTTCACTATCACATGGTCCTGCCCCCAAATACCTGAGTACAGGGCAAGTGTGCACCAAGACCTGGCAGGGAACTTAAGTAAGACCAACAGGAGAAATTAGTATACCTGATTTCAAAAGGCCTGGGGGTCTTAGGATATTTTCCTCCAGCCTAGATAGTCAAGATTAAGATCTGGATTACTGTATATTCTTTAAAGCCAGAATCTAGAACAGCGGTTCTCAACCTGTGGGTCGCAACCCCTTTTTAACAATGAAAACACATTGCAGCATTAGGAAGGTTGAGAACCACTGGTCTAGAAGAACCGAAGTTTTGTGAGAGCTAACATTTAGCTAGCAACTAGCAAGAGAGTAGAAACTTCTCCCACTGGGGGGAGTGGGTTGGTGTTACTGGTAGTACTAATAGACCAGGAGGTGGGAGACTGCAGGGCAAGGGGAAAATAAACCTGACTTACTCAGATAGCACCAAAGGAAGATAAGATGATGGTAAGCTTTATCAAAAACCTGAGCATGTGAACAAGGACTCTAAAGGAGGGTCTCTAGCCAAGTCCTCACTGGCAGTGGGAGCTTCTTGAAGTCTGGAGTGCCTGCACTCCCTAAATCACCCCCTTTTCAGGTGGTATTTACATATAAGCCTATCCTGTATCATTTTGATTTTTTTGCCTTTATTACCTGCACCCCCAGATACCTAAAGCATGTATAAAGGTCAAAGTCATTAGAGCTGAAAAATGTTAAACCTTCAGTACAAACTGTATGTTTAAATGCTAAACATTACTAGCAAAGGTGATATAGCCTCTGTGCTCAAAAGAAGTATAGATCTGATTCAACTGTTTCTATCTTTTGCGAAATTGAGTAATCATAAGCTTGCCTTCACTTAAGTAGTTTTATTACAGTTCTGCAAGAGGTGAAAAGTAGTTACAAGCCCCTTCCGTTCCAGGAGGAATAGCAAACTGAGACTTAACAGGAACTCTTAGAATAAAAACATGCCCATAAGATCAAGGGAACAGATAGTACCCAGCCATATGGCTTCAGGTTTTGATCCAGAATCCACAAGACTTGGCACTCAGCCTAAGAGTACAGATCATTTGTATTAAATATCTAGATCATTTTCTGTTTCTCACAGAATGTAAAGTTTTTCTTTTCAGTAGAGGACATGGTGATTAAGTTGAGGCAGTTGCCTTCATGACTTCACAGCCACCTTCACATAACTAGCCTAGAAGAAATTTAGTGCATCAAAAGGCTTATAATAAGGTCTATAATAATCTTCCCCCGAAAAGTACCTGCCTTAAAGACAGTTTCTCTTGGTAGACTAATCCAGGTGGCCTCTACATGGTTAATTGATAAATTCAAAATAGCTTAATTTGTTCCCTTCTAAATTGATCTCAAGAGAATATTTAAGCCTAGCATGACAGACTACTTTGAAGGCAAACAGTCCAAAAATACCTTCTGCTGAGGTCATAAGTAAGATGTACTTGCTGAGCAGAAGTAAGTGGTCCAGAGATAATTTTCCCCCCATCTGAAGAGTTTTTGGCTAGGAAATCTGAAGATCGATAGCTTTTCTGAGGACATGGGGCAGAATTTGACAAGATTGAAGAGAATCTGCATTTTTCATTCTAAATCAGTGCCTGTCTCTAAGCTCTTCTGTTGCCTGGTAGGATAAACTCTAAACACTGTTAATCCCACTTAGGCTAACTGTACTGCAGGAACCAAATGAAATGGCAGGCGATACAGACTGAGCATCCTTTATCCAAAATCTTGGGACTAGAAGTGTTACGTGGACTTTGAATTTTTTTTTTTTTCAGATTTTGGGATATTTGTGTGTATCTAGTTGAGATATCTTGGGGATGGGACCCAAGTCTAAACATGAAATGTATTTATGTTTCACATCTTATACCTATAAGCTGAAGATCATTTTATGCAATAACTAATAATTTTATACATGAAACTTCGGACTGTTTTTTGACTGCATTTTGACTGTCACCTACCACGTGGTCGATTATGGAAATGTTCCACTTGTGGCATTATGACAGCACTCAAAAATTTTAGATTTTGGAACATTTCAGATTTTAGATTTCTGCATTAGCCATGCTTAATCGCTTCCTTAAACTTGGCACTTTTCCTTTCTCATGTAGTCTTCTAGGAAGTCTTGAGCCTCTAGTTATTTTGAGGTTGTAAAGTAAGCAAATCAATGGCTGCTAGGTGCGGTGAGTGTTAAGTATGGAAATTCTGCTAGAAATGTCTTAATGTTTGCTTAGAGATCTCTTGCCTGCTTTGTATCTTAGAGATTCTCTATGAGTGCAGGAAGGAGTATGCATGGCCTTGAATTTAAGAGAGAATTTGGGAGAGAAATTGTAAGATGTGGCTTCTGGCTAGTGTGGCTGATTTTGCCACCTCAGGGCATCTGGGTTGGCCCTACTGGCCAATAGCCTTTATGTGTCTAAACAGTGTTGGCCATGGGATTGGTAGACTTGCAACATGCTAGGCAAGGAAGACAATAAGGCTTTGGCGACAGACAACACTTACAAGTTACTTCATCTGTTCTATTTCCCCCAAATATTGGGAATAAACAGGGTTCCTATTTTACTGACTACTTCTAATCTTTCATTTCCTTAAAAAGCCTTCCCAAGACCTGAGTTGTTAATGGATCTGTAGGTTAACTATGTAAGGTATAGATTGATGCTGATCTTTGTATGTCTGTTTGAAACAGCTTGAAGTACATCTACTGAACACCTACCCTATGGCACCAGTCATAGGGGATACAGCAACCACAGGGTTGGTCCCTTCCTTGATGGCTCTTAATTTAGAGGGGGAGTCAAACTAGAAAATCATAATCCAGA